CAAAATGTGGTCTTATTTGGAAATAGAGTCTTTGCAGATGTAATTAGTTAAAATAAAATGAGGTCATACTGGATTGGGGTGGATCCAAATCCAATATGACTGGCGTCTTTATGAGGAGAGGAGATGACACAGAGACACACGGGGAGAAAGGGGAGAGAGCCATGTAACAACAGAGGCAGATGCAGCTGCAAGATAAGGAGCACCAAGGATTGCTGGCAACCACCAGAAGCTAGGAGAGAGGCACAGAACAGACTTCCCCACCCGGAGCCTGCAGAAGGAACCAACCGTGCCAATACCTTGATTTCTGACTTCTAGCTCCAGAACTGTGAGAGATACAGTTCTACATTTTTAAGCCACCCAGACTGTGGTATTTCGTTAAGCAGCCCTAGGAAATTCATACACTCTTTGAGATCATTAGTAGCAGACCTGGGACTCAAATCCTAATTTTCAGATTCCGCTCATTAGCCTTGGAGATTAATAGGGGGTCCGGGGCCTGTGAGAAGTCATGCTCATCTCTCCTTCACCTCCCTGGCCTAGGCTGGCCTAAATCCATCCACTGTCTAGGTCTCTATCCATCACTGGGCCCTTCCAAGAGTGCAAACAAGCACGCTCCGAACCCAGCTTCCTGGCCAACAATCCTCCCCCTCCACCCAGGCCATCCTCTAATGCCACCTGGAGAGCTATGTTTTTGAAATGCAAATCTGATCTTTCCAAGCTAGCGTAATCCTCTTCCCTTGTTCCCCACCACCTGTAGGTCTCAGGTCAAGATTTTCAACCTGTGACAGATCTGGGCCCAACCTTCCTCTCAGGCCTTACCTCCAGCCACTCACCCTATTCATCTCTACCACTCACCACCTTCTGCTGCAACCATATGGATCTGTTTGGAGTTCCCCTAACAAGCCATAGTGCCTTTGCGCGTGCTGCTCCAGCTACCTGGAAGATCGAATCCAGCCCAAACACCATCTTTCTCCTCCATTAAGCCTTTTCTTACACGAACAACCACACCCTCGCACCTTGTACATTGTACATCTTTACACGTCTGCCCCTAAGTCCAGCCTGTGAACACTGTTATATTCATTTCTATTTCTGTAGGCTTAGAGTTGGCAAAAGGCATTCGAGAATGTTGAATTGAATTGTGGTCTGGCCGTAATAGTAATAGTTGCTAACATTTACCAAATGTTTACTCTGTGCTCAGCACTGTGCAAAGCATTCCATGTATCTTACCTCATTTCGTGCTCAAAACAATCCTACAAAACAGATACTATCACTGGTCCTGTTTTACAGGCAAGGAAATGAAGATATGAAACGCTTGCCCAAAGGGCTCTAGAGCCAGTGCTAGTAACCAACACGGGGTATACAGTCCATCCTAATACCCTCCTTTTACAAAAGAGGAAACAGCAAGAAAGGGAAAGCGACTTGCCCAGTCAATAACAAGGCGTGGACTCCAATCTTGAGATTTCTTATTCAATGTTCTTCCTCTTCTCATTCTTGCAAGATCCTAATTCAGGAGGACACAGAAAATAAACTAGGCTGTGTCTCCTGAAGAGCTTTCTCCTGCCTCCCCTAGAGCAGAGCCCAGCATGGGCCTGGGGCACAGTGGGGGTTCAAATCCATGGCCAGGAGATGCAGCAATAAAAAAGATAAATCTACTTCAAAAAATGTCCAAGGCCTGCTTAGATATTACAATGTCAGGACATGAGAGGAAATTGGGTATCATTTAGTACCATCTCTCATTTTATGAAGTTATCCATTCAAGAAATTTATTGAACAGCAATCATAAAAGCCAGACACTGAGTACGGGCACTAGGAAGACTAATAAGCAAGCTCCTGCCCAGATGGTATTTGCAATTCAGTGAGGAGAGACAAACAACTATCGAGTTCATGTATAATTACAAATTCTCATAAGTACTATGAAATGCAGAGAGCTCTAAGAACGTATAACAGAAAAAAACTGACAGCCTAGGGAGTTGGTGAAGGTTCTCCACCCCGAGAAAGTGACTTGAGCTGAAATCTGAAGAGTGGGAGTTAACCAAGACAAGAAGCTCAGTAAGAGTGTGCTAGACAGAGGGAACAGCATGTGCGAAATCCCAGAGGCACAAGAGCTCCGACTGCCTGGGTGAGCTAAAAGAATGCCAGAGTGGCTGGCTTCCAGAGAGGTGGGCAGGGACTCCCTCCTACAGGTCTTGTATCTTGTAGGTCAAGGTAAGGAGTGAAGAAACTGAGCAGAACGGGAAACCCCTTGTTCAGAACCGGGCCCAGAGTGGATGCTGTCAATGAGTCATTGCATTCATTATTTAGTGAAGGAGCGATTTGTCCAAGATCACAAGGAAGACTTGGTACTTGAAACCAGAACCACTGCCAGGCTAGGGCTGTGGGTTACTTCAGGTACGTGTGTAGGAGGGAACAAGAGAGGCTTTGCAGGTGTTCTAACCTATCGCAGGTTCTGGCTCCCTGTCTGCACTTTTCTTGAGGTCTACAGTGCATCAGAATCACCAGTGTTTGTTAAAATACAGACTGCTGGGCTCCACCCCCAAAGTTACTGATTTAGTAGGTCTGGTGTGAGGCCCGAGAATCTGTATTTCTAACAAGATCCCAGGTGACCATGCTGCTGGTACAGTGAGCACACTTTGAGAACCACTGCTCTAGACTAGAATATATGGGGGCTAGGGAGAATTGTGAGTGGAGACCATGGCCAAGATCCTAGGGGGCTAGAAAGGTAGATTCCCGAATCGGTAACAATGAGACAAACTCTAGCACTCTGAGAAAAGGAAGGGGCCTCAAAGTTCCAGAATCCAACCTACTAGCTGCTCAGCCAGAGAAACTGAGGCTTAGGGGCTTTAGACTCTGACATAAGGGAAGCTAATAAAAATGTGTTGAGTGGATAGGTGAACACATAAAGAGTTTGACTAAAGTTAAAAGGAGACCCCTAGACCAGATTTCAGGGCTCCTGAGCCTTTCCTATCCTGGGAAAGGAATTCAGAGAAGGGGACAGCGAGCTCAGCTTTTCCCAGCTCTGCTGCCTTGGGCAGGGAAACATTTTAAGAATTGCAGAAATCTGCTGTTGGCCTCCAATCCTGTCATCCATCCACCCTCCTTCCTCTCACACTCGCGGCTCCCTCCCTTTACACTCCAAATCCTGTGTACTTTATCCTGGCAAGCCAGGCAGCAGAGGGGGAGGTGAAGTTATGAGGGAAAAGAACTGGAAGTGGAAGAATTCTTGCATTTGGATATACTTCTTCCAGAACAACTCATTCCTCCCGTAAATCTGTTTCTTCTTTATCTTTGTAGCCAGTCATACCCTAACCTACCTACATTTCAGTACCAGCATCTGAAACCCACAAAGGCAGGGCAAAATTTCCAAACTACCTTTTACCCCAGTTTTTCTAAAATAGAGTAGCCCTGGACAAAATTTTTCTGTCCTATTCCAATTGGCAGCAAGATGCCACTTCTCTTGCAAACTCACATTCACAGTCTCACTAAAATATAATCAGCTATTTGTACATAAAAACAAATATACCAGAACTTATGAAAATACATATACATCAAGACATACATCACTCACTGTTCCCTGATAAAACTTACCTATGCATCTAAATGCACAAGAAATACACATGGAGGACACACACATGCACATAGATTACAGATCTAGAAATGCATGCACTGCACCAATAAATGGGGAAAGGGGTACAGACACACCCAGAGACCTCTCTCAAAGTAAAGGTCTCCTGAGGCGGGAGTGGTTGCGGGGAGGGACTGGCCCTTTAAGAGACTGGTTCTCCATCCTCCTTTCAAGGCACCTAAGATGTGAATCTACTCTCAGTGCAGGGGTGAGGGTGGGAGTGCAGCTGACCTGGCCAGGCCTGGTCTGGCTCTGGACGACAGTCCCAGCGCCGCGACAGGAAATGGATCCCTAAAATGACTGGGTCACCAGCCTGGGGAACGATGTCGCCGCTACTGCCACCACCACCCCACACCCACACCCACAAACCCCCCTACACACCGGGCTTCAGGCAGGACACGCCCTCCACTCTAGCTGGGCCGGGTACCTGGGCTCCGCTGTCAGCCCAGCTCCCTCAGGCCCCCGGGGTGTGGCCGCCCACCTGCCAGCAGGGCGCCTCTGCCTGGCGGAGACACTCCTGTCGCTGCCCCCACCCACTGCCCCGGCCAGGTACCGGGCTCTTGGCGACAGCAGCGCCTCGGCCACCGCCCCCACCCCTTCCTCCCGGCAGTGCGGAGACAAAGCCGCGCACACGCACACCGGGGCTACGCGGGGCTACGCGAGTGCACACCCGCCCTCGCACGCGCACACACGGGGAGTCACATTGGCTCTCACACAGCGACACACGCACACACATACACACACACACACACACACACACACACACACCGCCTCAGGCTCCAGCCACAAGGGAAGCCAGTGGCACACACCCTCATCCAGATGTACACTCAGCTACACATTCGGACACACCCTCTCATAGACACATTCACAGATAGACACACTCAGACACACACACCCTCACCCAGAAACACACACACCACCCAGTCCAGTCAGTCGCACGAAGACATACAGGGCACAGACCCTCACACACAGAAGCAAACCCGGCGCACACACGCACGCGCGCACACACCGAGCAGCCACTTGCACAGACCCACGGGCACTCGCGCGCTCACGCCCAACACACACCCAGCTACGTGGACCCCGACACACACCCGCGCCAGTATGGAGTCGAACGAACCGAGGCCCGGGCTTCCCAGCTCGGGCGCCCGCCCCGGGTCCCGATGGTGTCCAGCCCCGGGAGCCTGCCCGCGGGTCTGTCAGGGCTCGAGGACCAGGGACCGAGCCCGGAGCCCTCGGTGATCAACCTCGCGCCCCACCCCCCGCCACACACACACGCGCACACACACACGCACACACGCGCGCACACACGCGCACACACGCGCGCGCGCTTGCACGCAGCGGGGCCCTGGGGGCCCGGAGCAGGGCGGCGTAGACGGCTAACCTGGCGGCGGCGACGCGGCTTCCGGGCGC